GACAGGTCCTGTGCAGCTGCGTTTTATGTTTCCATATGGCCTTGCCAGGGTCCCCCCCCCCCCTTTAACCAGACCTGGCTTCCACAATTAGTACGGACTCACAACAAGTTAGTTATGGAATACATTAAGTCCTAAAGGCCTCATGGGGCTATTTACACCTCTTTGGACTATTTCCAGGATCCCAGATTATACTGTAAGTGTAAATTAAGGAAGTCTCACGATCCAATGGGCCTGACTGGAACATGCAACATTACCATATCTTATGCTCCATTTTCCAATGCTTTTCTTGGCTTCATTTTGATGATTTTATACCACCCTGAAAGGTAAACTCTCTGTAATCTTAAAATATTTAAAAATACTTCTCTCTTTTCCCTTCTTGAATGTGCCTTATTCTATTCTCGGGTACAAAAATTGAAGACTGATCAATTTTCTCCTTTGGCATTGAAATCTTTCAGGAATTTATTTGCATTCACCTGGCCAAGTTATAAATACCATCCAACACCTATATCATGCCATTTCTTTACTTAAAATAATAAATTGGGTTCACTTAATAAAATAGAAAACCAGATGAAGTCAGTCTGTGTACCCAACAGTTGGGAACATACATTTAGCAGCTGGTGGGGGAACAAAAAGGTCACTCCTCTAGCCCTTGCACAAGATCAGTTATAGATCACATATTCTAGAAAACATGAAACATAATGTAAATGGTTCTTACTTTATTTTTTATCCCATCGTATACCCAAAGAATCAGAGCTGATGGTCTCTCTCTTTCCCTTTCTCTTCTCTCAGCCCCTGGGAGGACTTTTCTTTGGGGCCTCTCGTCATCTCAGAGTCATGTTTGCAGCCATGTTTTTCGTTTTCTCATGGATACTGGTGTCTGACAACACACAGGTCCTTAATAAACACTTGTTGAATGAGTTTTGGAACCTGAACAAGGTAGACTATGAGGTCTAGAGAAATCATGCAAGTCCAAGAATCAGGAAATTAGCTGAACAAGATTTGATAATCATGGCGAATATGCTTCGCTTTTGATGACTACTCTGTATGTGGCCAGCACTCTACTAGAAGCCTTAAAAGTATCCAATTTTATGGTAATTGAATCATCACAATATCAGGCATCATTACCCCTATTTTACAGATGAATAAACTGAGGCGCTGAGAAGTAAAGTAATATGTCCACAATCACCTAGCTACTAACTATATATTTTACTGGGATTAATATGCATGTCTGTTCAATGCTGAAATTCATGCCTTTTTTTTTACCCCTTCCTTTCTGTTCCTCCATTTTGTCATCCAGTAAATGTGGAAATTTTAATACTCATTAAGAAACCCAGTTTCAGAGTGTTTCAGATATAAGGTGACACATTTCTCACGAAAATTTGCAATTGAATTAGTTTTGTTTATTGATTAAAATCCTGCAACAGACAAAGGAATGGCTCTCCAAAGCTGAAAAGTTGGGAACCCTGAAAGGAAAGTCTTGGTATCAAGACTTTGGGGCAGGTTGAGCCTTTCTAGGGTTTTTGAGATCCACCTAAAGCTAAAGTTAGCCTTGTCTTTTTTTATGCTGGTTAACATTTACTGAAAACTTACCATGGCCAGACACTGTGCCATAGAAGTTAATATGTATCATGCCACAGAAATCTCAACCCCTAGAAGATAGTAGTACTACTGTTATTCCCAATTAACAGATGAAGAAACCAAACTTGCCCAAAGTCACACAGCCAGCATGGTAGAGCTTGGACTCAAAGCCAGATATTTTTAACTCTGAAGCCCGTAATTTTAACTGCTTATGCATGCTATTTTTGGCTTATTTATCTCTGTAAATTTAATGTAATTTATATCAATGTCATTCATTTCTTTTGGTCATTTATTTTGAAATAAATCCCAAGGAATGCAGATCAGAAATCTGCTTAGTTTGTTTGCTAACACATACACCTGTGCCATATATGTGGTGACACTTATCAAGTATCTCATGATGCATGACTTTCCGTGCAATTAAATACCTTTGGGTCACTCTCAGTCACATGCCTGAGAGTTACAAACTCTCCTTTCCTCTCCCTCTAGATATTTCTTTCTGTCAAAGTGGATAGATTAAGAAACATCAAATAGACAGCCATATCAATGTAGAGATTTTCAGACTCTGACCTGAAAAAAATCTCCACAGGAAAAGCATAGTGCCTAGGGTGATTGACATAACAGAAATCCTACCTCACTAAATGTGTTCCCACAGTTCATTCTGTATTTATTAGAAGGAATTATTGACACTTTCAAAAGATACAATCTCCAGGACCCTGATAGGAAATTAACTTTGGTTTTAAAAAGAATTCGAGCTAGATGTTACTGTCTGCATCAGGACAGTTTATTTTCCCTTTAACTCTGAGTTATATAACACAGTATTATCAATTGCTTGCATGTATGGAGCAAAAATCCACATAAATTTCTCTTCTGTATTTATCCTATGGAAGAAGTGACCTCCAAATTAAGCTATGGAGGAAGTGTGGACACTAAAAACAACAACAACAACAACAACAACAACAACAACAAAAACCTATCTAGATTCCATAACTCTTTGAAGGGAGGAGGATATTTTAGAAGCTATAATTTTTTTGATCAAATAAGTATTAGTTCACTTTTATTTTAGCCAACTACACGTTTTGCAAAATAACACTAATAAGGTGTGCTCTTTTTCCCTAACTAAATTCTTCACAATGAAATCCAACTGCAATATTCATTTAGAAATTTGATAATGCTCTCTTGTGTGAGTTTTAGGAATATTTGAAACCCCATTGCATATAAATTATATCATGGAAAAGCTGTATAAATATTCTATTACGGCACATGCTGTTCTAAGGATCTGTCAGGATTTCCTTTATACACTCCATTTTGAGTGGTATATAAATCAGATGTAAAAATTCATGTTGGACTGAAACTCAGCACAAAAGGCCTCCTCCAGAGGCAAATGCTTTTTTCAAAATGTGGTTTGAATTATGTTGGTCATTTTTAAGTTATAGAAGTGCAGAAAATGTATTTGTGGTTTTGAAGGAGAGAGATTTTTTCCATTTTTATAACTCATTAGGAAACTTTACAGGCCTTTAGACCATTTTGTGGTTTAGTTCTTCTCAGGTTTTTCCCCAAAGCAATATTAAAACTTGAATGGTGTCCGCTATGAATCCAATGATTACTGTTCTGAATACAAATGTGTGTATGGATGTATATAGTTATACATATCTTAGACTAGGAGAAGTTCCAATAATATCATAACTGGGGTAGAAGATTAGACCTATCAGTTGCCCTTTTTTGTTCTTGGTCTCAAGTCAAGGTTTATCTATCAAAAGAATCCTCTATCTATACCATAGTTCACTGCTTGTATTTTTAAAGCTGCATCTTAAACTTCAGAAAATACCTTGGACTTACACAGTGCGTCTTCTATTAGCATGTTGACAATAAGGTTGTGACCTTTCTAAATTTTGCTTTTCACTAACAGAGAGAGCAAGTTGCAGCACGTTTAATAGATATTGTAAAGTATTCAATGTGCATGTTTGTGTATATAAATTACTTTGTTAAATAGTGTTGAACTTATTTTGTCTATATAGGTAACATGTTGCCAAGTAATTTCATAAACATCTAAGTTATTATTTTAGCACATGTAGAGATTATGGTTATATTATTCTCTTAACAGCATCAGTTAAAATCTGAGAAAGTTTTATTTGGATTGAGAAAGTTGGCAAAATTCTCAAAGTGGAGTAAGCCAATCTTTCAAATGACTTTAAAGGATAATGAAAATAGAAATATTTTATATGATTGAATTGCTTCCACCTATGTTATATTTAGTTCATCAATGTGTTTGACTAACACATTTAGTGTTATTATTTAGTATCATATAATAAATCAAGACATTAAAGCATAAAGAGGTTAAAATTTTCCAACGTTATTCCTTATATTTTTTTATTAAATTCCACTTGGAATCTCAGTGTCTTGATTCCTAATACAGTTCCCTCTTCAAATTACACTATTTCTGGTGCAATTGTGGGAATCTTTAGGTCTAGTAACAGTTAGGATGGGCCACCCAAAGAACAATCAAACATTTGCCTGTGACTTGTGGAGCAATGTCGACTTTCCCACTGAGACACTTGGAGGATCAGAAAGGATCTATCTCCTCCTGGATGTTTTATCTACTAACCTAGTGTCATGGAAATTAGCCAACTCTACAGTGGAGACAGCTGAATGCAGTTTTCTTTATTTTTTCATATTAACAGGAGAGCAGGGTTACTAATGAGGAGTCACATCCCAAATCTCTGATCTATAAAGCTGAATCTCCTTATTTCTATTTGGGTCATTTTTTTTTTTTAAATTCTGCTCCATTTGCTTTTACTAACTTATGCTACTTTGTGTTCTATAATGTTATATTTGTTTATAATTATTCATACATAACCCATATACTTTTGTCTTTCTCTTAGTTTGTCGTTAAAGTCATCACTGTTATGATTTACTTAACACGTATCACTCCAAACACCCCTATATGACTCAATCAGTCATTAAAAAGTTTGGAGGGAAGCCTACAAATTTCTGAGAACTAAGAGCATATTGAAACACTGTTTTGTGAGAATCAGAAATGTTTTGAAGTATGGCATAGACATTTAAAAGCCACTGAAAGTAAATATGCTATACACGTCAAAAAGAAGCTTTACATGTTAAGAATCTACATTCCATGGTTGAATTTAACAATGTGTAAGTCGTTAGGCGGGCAATGTGCACATTGTACTCCCCTGCTCCTCCATTTATTATATTATACCCATATTTTTCCTTGCATTTGGAGGAGAGATAACACAGTGCTATTATTTGAATAGCGCTGACATTGTTAAAGCCTAGCACCATTGTTTTCTATATAATGAGCAGTATATTTTTAAACAGAACGGCTATTTCTTATAACACATGAAATGAAGAATGACATAAAATACTCTAAGATTATGAAGAGTAATGAATGTAAGATATATCCTTACCTTGATTTTACCTTTAAGCAGCCTTTTATTTGTCTATTAGGAACGTCTTCCCGTGGTTTTACAGGCTCCGGCTCTTGTTCTTTCTTTTGACAAATCAGTATATAATTTGTGCCATTATTATTTGACCAAAACGTACCAACAGAAGTTTCGTAACGTATACAAAACTCAACTTTACTGCCATCTTTTTGGTAAGGGGGAACCAATAAAATCTTAAAGGAGAACTGATCAGTTTCACCATCACATGAATTTGGGACATATTCTGCTAAAATGTCATAATGTGTCTGCCAGTCATCCAAGGACATTCTCACATATACTAACTTCTCAAAAGAAATATTCAAAACTCGAATAATGCCCTTCATACTCGTAGACCCAGGAGGATACTCAGTTGACTCCAGTATTGCTTTCTGTACTTGAAGTTGCTGCATAAGATCTTCTTTTGAAGAAGGCAACTCAAAGAGTGGAGATAAAACATATTCTTCTGTGTGGAAAATGTCCTTCCTTAAGTCAAAACTGGTTGAAACATTCGGTAAATCCCAGCAATCAAATTCTTTGACAGACACAAGATTGAATCCAAAGGTGTCAGCGAATGAAACTCTTCTTGTACCTGAAGACGGAGTGCCCAGGTACATATCTTCAGAAGAATCAGAACCTCGTCTACTAGGTTGAGGGGAGAAACCAGGTTTGAAGGTAGCTTTAACTTCTTCATCTTCAGAAAGAGAATCAGACAAATTAGGAACTTCTAAAAAGTTATCTTTGCTAATCTGACTAGGTTCTTCAGAAGACTCCATTGGGCTCTCTGGTATCAAATAAGAGAGAACTATACAACTAGTAGAGGCTGATATTTGAGATACTGAGGCTTAAAATAAGTATAATGTTACAGTTGACATTGCAGAAAGGAGTCAGCTCTATAAATAGGTCCAATGGCGTGTAAACTATGCTAGCTCGCCTCCAAAGGCCTTTAATATGATAGCATCCATGTTACTCTCACCAGTATGTTTCAGATTTAACTCGCAGTTTTTAAAGTTGCATTTGTTTATGAGCTGAGTTCCAAAAAGACATTTTAAATCATTTTTTACTGTGTTGAAAAATCTGAAGCTTTACAATTAAAAATTGTTATAACCAGTTGATCTTAAAAATAAAAACAACCACAATACTAATATGTAGTTTGAGCTAAATCAATCTATTGGAGCAGACAAGGGCAGACAGAAGAAAATAAGAACATTTGTAGAACTGGAAAAATCCAGTGCCTAATAATAATGGTAGCTACTATTTAACAGGGCCTTACAGTGAGTGTAAAATGTGAACTATAAAAGGGTTAAATAGAGGTGCTGGGAGTTCTCAGGAAACATGATTTAGATGGAGAAGGCATCATTTGAAATAAAGCATGAAGGGTAGGTAGGATATAGACATGCAGGGTTGGAGTGAAGCGGATTTTCCAGGTGGGAGAAATGGCCTAAGCCAAGGCCTAGAACAAATAATTAGTCAAATCCGTTATTTTAAACATTAGTGAGTTTCTTTTAATTAAGCTATGGAAAAATACACACAAGTAATATGTTATTGACTTGAAAATATATATGAGCAATGGTAAGCCTGGCCCAGGAGTGAAATATTTATGTAGAATAAAATGTTCATCTTTGGCAAATTGCCATTTCATGCCCACAGAGCAGAAGTTAATACCATGAAATCTTGGAGTTTGATGTGAGTTTTAAAATGTGAGCAGCCTTTTTAGACCACTGAATTTTTGTGTTCATGTAAAACCCACTTTGGGGATGACAATCAGGTAAATACCTATTAAAAAAATTAAATATTGGGGCACCTGGGTGGCGCAGTCGGTTAAGCGTCCGACTTCAGCCAGGTCACGATCTCGCGGTCCGTGAGTTCGAGCCCCGCGTCAGGCTCTGGGCTGATGGCTCAGAGCCTGGAGCCTGTTTCCGATTCTGTGTCTCCCTCTCTCTCTGCCCCTCCCCCGTTCATGCTCTGTCTCTCTCTATCCCAAAAATAAATAAATGTTGAAAAAAAAATTAAAAAAAAAAATATACATAAGCTTTGGCCCTGGAATGTTCCAGCTAGAAATTGCCTTATCAGTACAACCTAAATATACAAAGATAAATGTGTGTGTGTGTGTGTGTGTGTGTGTGTGTGTGTGTGTATTCATAACAGAATTGATTATTTTAAAACTCTAGAAACTATCCAAATATCCATCAACAAGAAACTAAATACTGGGACACCCATACAATAAAATGTTTTGTAGTCATTAAAAGGCTACAGTAGCTCTTTATATATTGATACAGAAAGATAACCAAGATAAATAGCCAAGTGAGAAAAGAAAGTGTGTACAGATATTTGCACAGAAAATTCCTGGAAAGACACAGAAGCCATTGTTAGCAGTGGTTATCTCTGATCATAGAGGTTGAGGGTTGTAGGGTAGAGGAGATTCTTGACTTGATAGTCTTCTTCTGTACTCTTTGAAATATTAGCCATGAGCAAGATCTTTCACTATCTCTTTGACTCAATGAATTAAATTAAAAACTAAAAAAAATATATTTTCAGCTTATCTGTTTTGAGAGACAGAGAGAGCAGGGGAGGGGCAGAAAGAGAGGGAGAGAGAATCCCAGGCAGGCTCCCTGTTGTCTGCATGGAGCTAGATGTGGGGCTCGAACTCACTAACCATGATATCATGACCTGAGTTGAAACCAAGAGTCAGATGCTCAACTGACTGAGCCACCCAGGTGCCCCTCAATTAATTAAATTGTGAGAGGTGATTAATTAAAAAAGGCTGGCTGTCCAATAGCATTTCTTTAATATCATAGCTTTGTAAGTATATTATAACTTATTGGACAATTTGAATTGCATAAAATAGTGGTTCAGGAAATTATTTTTTTAATTAAAAATGAGTAGGATCTAGAATAAGGAAATTAAGTTATTTGGGCCTTACCTCACCCATAAAACAAGAAGGAGTGGTAACCTCACGGATTGTGCAAGAATGGAAAATGGCTATGGAAATGGCTATCCTTTGCAAAGTTCATGACCATAAACTTTGAGTAGACATAATCCAAGTTACCTAAATATATCACTAGGTATTCAAGGAAAATAGTAACAGAATAATTTAAAGAATTAGTCAATAATCCTTACAGTCATGTAAACAATAGAAGAATGAAAATTTATAGATACAATAATATACAGAAGTAACTTAGCTATTGAAGGATGATAAGCAGAGACAGAGATAAAGACCCATGGGTTGTATTCGGGCTCTGCCACTTAGTAGCTGGGCAACACTCAGAATTTTGCTCAAATTTTCTAACCCTCATTTTCTATAACTGTTATGCAATGTTAACGATTAAATGAGCTGTGTGTTAAATGTCTAACACAAAACTTACTGTAATAATAGCAGGCATTATTTTTATTTCTAAATATCCTATGGAAGGCTGATTTCTAAGATACATCAATAGATAATAGATTATAGAGAACCTACATATAGAATATTAAGTAATAATTTGTAATTTGTTTGATTTTGTCTTTTTCAAAGACTATAATATGTAACAACACTTAACTCTGTAACATAGTTTTATAAGACACAAAATAGCTCTACATTAGAAAATGGTCTTGTTATTTGAGGTAAACTTTTCCCTTCTTAAGTTTCTCTTTACACAGAGCACTATTCCCTTGATCTGTAGTAATCACTGCCTCTCTTTAGGAGACTATAACCTTCACAAGATTGGAGACAGTTGAATGTTGCTCCTTAGTCACTTAGCTAAAGCCCAGTGATTTCATCCTTTCAATCTCTTCTCACATGTCAGTCCTCCAGCACTTTTTTATCATTTTGTTACTCCTCTAGGAACTCCTTCCAGCTTGCCCATAGTATTCTGTGAATCACAGATCAGGTGTCTCTGGAGCAGGTACAGAAACACTACCGGTTTCAGCCTTGTGATTTCGTATTTGTATTCAGTTAAAATTCACATCGCCTTGCTTCTTTTTAATATCCTAGGTCAAACCAACGTCCCATTTTCTCATATTCACTACTACCTCAATTTTAACATGACTTTTACCATCCTGTTCTTCAACTGTACAGGCATACCTTTTTTTTTTTAAACAACTACAGCTCGAGTTTTCACATATTCCACTTCGTATTAATCAAAGATTCTCAAAGTCACCTTTAACATCTGTATCAGTCAGGATCCCAGTAAGTGGGAAATCAATGTCATGCTCAAAATAAGATAATTCCAGGAGGGTTTATTTACAAGGATCTATTTATAAAGTGTAAATGCAGAAAAGCCACAGGGCTAGTGCAACAAACTGAGAGCCAGTTGCCTCAGCGTTGGTTACCTTCCCTCAATGGATGAGGAGAGGGGTAATCATCAGAGCTTGAAAGCAAAGAGCACCATGATCTTTGGTTGAGGGACACAGCCAGCCAAATATGACCTTTCCAGGAGAGATCTAGGAACAAAAATACACTTAATTTACTTTTCTCCTTTCATATGATGTCCTACCAGAATTATTCATTGGCCAGAGGCTTTGGGGACAATTACAGTTCATTCAGGTCAGTCTCCTGGTGCAAAGAAGCTGGGTAGAGAAGGGTGAAAAAAGTGCCAAATGGAGCTGGAGGGACAAAGGTATCAGAGATTAAAAGTTTATTATTAAGTTATCATTATGTGCTTATGCACTATATTTAAGCATATATAATTTAAAATATGTATGTGTGTTCCTCTTGCCTTATACATAGTCTATCTCAATGCCAACTGAATTCTTATTCCCTGATAATTTGTTGTCACAGCAAAATACTCAAATATCTAACATCTGTAAACTCTGATCCGGTGAGGGTCATAAATAAGAAATATTGAGTTTATCCACAGATGGCAAAGAAAGAAACCCTCTTTTCTGAGATTATAACTTTGTATCTGTTTCCCTTGTTGTCATAAATCTTTGCAACTTAAACTCAAGAGACATTTTGTCAAAAGAGGACGTGGAAGAGTGATTTTCAACCAAGCATCACTGAGAGGTGTTCAGATGACACAGGTTCAGGTGCACCATTAGATCTACTGAATAAGAGCTTCCAGGTTGATGATACTGCACAAGTGATTCCAGTATAGATCGGTTAAGGTACATGATCTGTGAGTCTGTGGGCCAGAGAGACAAGGACTTGTATTCTGGTTAGAAAGAATCATAGCTATCATCCCTCAAGTATTAGGTGTTTTTGTTTTTGTTTTTGACATAGAATCTATACAATAGTTTTATTTTAAAAAAGGCATAAAAATTTAGTAGGGTTACAGAGTAGCAGAATTTTAAGGCATTTAGAAATCATGTAGGCTAGTCCCTTCACTTTCATAAAGGAAAATGGGGGGCGCCTGGGTGGCGCAGTCGGTTAAGCGTCCGACTTCAGCCAGGTCACGATCTCGCGGTCCGTGAGTTCGAGCCCCGCGTCGGGCTCTGGGCTGATGGCTCAGAGCCTGGAGCCTGTTTCCGATTCTGTGTCTCCCTCTCTCTCTGCCCCTCCCCTGTTCATGCTCTGTTTCTCTCTGTCCCAAAAATAAATAAACGTTGAAAAAAAAAATTAAAAAAAAAAAAAGAAAATGGAAGCCTGGAATAGTGAAAGCCCCCTCATTTAGTAACCGAGCTGGAACTTGAACCCAGCTCTTTCTTGCTTTCTGTCTGGTGTTCTCCATATTATCCCATACATACACCAACTTTTAGCCTTACAATTCAGAATTAACAAAGTAATCATTTTTTGAAAAATAGTCATTAAAATTCATTTGTTCTAGATCCAGTTTATTTTTTAAAATCAATTAACTTT